AATAAGTCGTCCCTCATGATACTCTCTCACACTATTCTCCATGCTTCTCAGATTTTGAAGGTACTGAACTGGAAGTGGGTTGGAAATAGCTGAAAATCTCTGCATTCTATTGAAGGATGCAGCAAAGGGATACCCACCTGCTGGATACTGTCCCGGACTTCTGTGCCTCCCTCTGCTCTTTAAACATTTTTATCCCAGAATATAAAAATGAACTCTTTGCTTCCAAGTGCCAGTAAGGATCATAATCGGAGAAAACTAGAAAACGTTACAATTTTTTCTGAGTGCACTTAAGGACAAGTTAGGTTAATTACAAGTGAACTCATCAGGATGTTACAAAAGGACATAATGACATAACCTCTACTTTGCATTACAAAGTAAAGCCATAAAACTACACTGTGTCATAGCTTCACTGCATCTCAGGATTATGAAGGAAGAGTGAAGTGTCTCTTCTTGCATAACAGCAGGCGTATTCAACATTAGCTCTGTCAGTGATAAGAAGCTATGCTTGGAAAAGTTTTTATAAAATTAATTGAAACACAAGAGCCTCATAGTTATAAGCCTAAACGCAATATTGGCAATCATGTGCTAATGTTGGTAGCTACAATGAATCATTCGGACTAAATTATTCTATGACGATTCCGTTAAGGACTCAAGAAGTTTAATCTTAAAACACTTCTCATCGGCACAAATTTGAAATTGCAGATTTCCATTCAGGCAACGCAATGTTTGTCAGTTTCTACAAATCTTATTCATCTCCAGGACATACGGTAGGTCATTTCGCATGTCCTTCTGAACTCTAAGAACTTATTTTTAAGGGAGTGCAAAATACTTCAGTGAGACGGAGACAAGAAAGTCAATTAAGCAGAGATCTGCTTCACATCTCTTGGACCCAAATGCTTTTTTCAAAAATCTTATATTATTTTTTTATATAGCAGTGCTCCCTTTCAACAGGATGGTTCATACACTATCGTCTGCTTTTCATTCAGGGCGATTATGTACACACTGAATGCTTTTTAAAAATCTCTGTATCCAAACACTCCAATTCTTGCAGAGGACACACATACTTGTATAGTTTGTTTTACATCATTAAATTCAATGGAAGTGGCACAAGAAATGCAAGAGGGCAAGAAACTTGGTTTTCTTTAAAAAAAGAAAGCTGAAATAATTCCAAAATCTGTACTCCTGCAGAATGAAAGCATTCACAACAACCTACTCAGAGTCTGTTACAATATGACTATTTATACAAGACAACGTTCAACAGAAAAGCTTCCAAGATTCACTTCTGTACACTGTTACTATTCTCTGGAATATAATTTTCATTCCTTCCATTCTTTCGCTTTTTAAAACACTCCTACTGAATTTTCAGCATTCCCTTTTTTCAAATTATACTACTTACCCACCATGCTACAGAATGAATAGAGACCCATATTCTATCACTATGGAAGACAGTAATCTCTGAACTGAAACTTATTTATTTATTTATTATTTAAAGCATTTATATTCTGTGTTTCTCACCCCAAAGGGGACTCAGGGTGGAGCAAAACATAAAAACGGCAAACATTCAAGGCTGAAACATACTAGACTATGCACATATAAAAAAACATTAAAATCACTTATCTTGACGTAAAACCCTCTGTTTAAACCTGTCTCAAACATCCATATCGAATTTGACTGCCATAATAAGAGTTCTTATTGCTGCCTCATTGCACAGTCCCAAAGGCTCAGTCCTACAGCCAAGTTTTTCTTATCCTTCTAAAGGACAGGTGGGAGGGGGCTGATCTAATTCCATTAGGAAGGGAGTTTCACAGCCGAGGGCCAATCACCAAGAAGGCCCTCTCTCTTGTCTCTGCCAATCATACCTGAGAAAGTGGCAGGAGAGCAGGGCCTCCCCAGAAGATCTTAATCTCAGCAATGGTTCGTAGAGGGAGATGCGTTTGGACAGGTAAACTTAAAACAGCTGCTTCCCAGTTTGTTCTAGTAACCTAACAGAATCTACAGCTTGACAGTATATTACTCACATTAGCACCTTTGAAAGTGTGTAGTGTGACTGGAACTATATAGTATCACTGACAGAATGCAAAATGTCCTCAGCATCTTGCATTATTTGGAACTGCCAGAATTTTACACATATCTGAAAAGCATTTAGGATTTCAACTGACCTTTGCAACTATAACACGTCAAACTCAAGACTCTTGAGTTGAATCCCAACTGCCATCACATTTTATGTGGTCTTCCAGATGATGAACTGCAACTCCTGTATTCATCATTAGATAACATGACTAGAGCTGATGGGAGTTGTGATAAGTAACATCTGGAAGGCTGCAGTTTGTTCTGTTTAGTTAGGATAGTTGGGGTTGAATTAAGATACAAGGCTTATGGATACTATGTCTGTCTTTAAAATTCCCCACCCTGAGCCATGTGCATTGGGTTGTAATTGTCATTATCCCGTGAGCATGGCAGAAAATCAAGTGATGGAAATGGTCATTCAATAACAACTGAGGACCGAAATTGGGTAAAAACTAAAGAACACTATGTAAAAAAATATATAGCAGGTTCTCCATCCACAGATTCAATGGCTCTTTGAAAGAAACTATGAGGCTGATGTGGCCCTCAATGAAAATGAATTTGACACTCCTGAACTAGAAGCTGTCACTTCCTGAACTAGAAACTGTCACCATGATCACTGGAAACTGTATTAGTTTGGAATTGTGTCTTTCTCATGGTCTTCCATGGATTGGAGAACAGCAAGACAGCTGGAGAAAGAGCAATGCTGAATTTCAAAGAGTACATCAAGATTCTGCACAGCATTTGACCATATTGTCACAAGCTATGGTTCATATTTTGGTGCCGATTTTAATTTTTAAATATATTTTTAAATTTCTGTTTAACAAAATATTTGTTTCTCACCTTTCCTTTTCCAATTAATAGACATAAAGCTAATCCCTGTCAATCACCATACATAAGTCTTCCAAATAATTACATTCTGCATGTTGATCATGACCTTCAACACTCATGTTTCCAAAATCTCTTTTGGAAACATGAAGATTGAAGTATTGTATTGCCTTGAATGGATTCCAAATAGTTTCAACCATATCTTCTTTTATGTCCCCTCTTGCCAGTCTTGCCCTCTTTAATTTTTTTCTGAATGAGCTTGAGTCGCCTTTGGGCTGAGAAGGGCTGTATATAAATATGGCAAATAAATAAATAAATAAACAAACAAACCATATCCTATTAAGCCACTTTAGTACTGAAAGACTATTTTGGGATGCTTTCAATGTTTTAGTTATTTCGAACCTTGAGCACTTAACATAAGGATGCTAGGATCCTTATCTGGAAAGAGAAGAATAAAAGAAAAGAAGGCTGGAGGTTTAGCACAGCTGGTAAATCATCAGCAATTATAAGATCTATCAACCAAAAGGTTGCAAGTTCGAAGCTCCAGGTTGGCGTGAGCTGTCAGCTGCTAGCCTAGCTCATGGTTTACTTAAGCAATTCAAAAACAGCTGTAGCTGCAATTAGAGAAATTAGGTACCGCTAAAAGCGGGGAAGGTATTTTACGACGCCATAAAAGAAAGGGCGACCAAAAAGGAGGAGGAAGTCCTGACGGCTCTTCGTCATAGAGCAACAGCACGCCCTGGACTCGAGCCAACCTTCCATGGCAGCAAAAACAGCTGAAACAAACCACCTACTTATGTTTTGTCTGTGTATTGTCTGTATAAAGTGACATTGAATGTTTGCTGTGTATGTACTGTGATCTGCCCTTTGGGGTGAGAAGGGCAGAATATAAATAAAGTGTTGTTTGTTTAATAAAATCCAAGTCCCTTAGTGGTGCGGCCTGAGGAGGAGGAGGGAGGAAGGATGAGGGTGGAGGGAGAAAGGGCACAGGGAGGAGGAGCGGCAGGCCGCATTGCCACGGAGACCCTCCAGGAGTGGTGGCTCGCTGGGCTGTCCCTGCCGCCCCTACTGCTCTACTTTCAAGGCCCTCCTCTGTCCCCACCCTACTGTGAAGCAACTCCTCCAACGTCACCATTTCCGGGAAGTCAGGAGAGGAAGGAAGCAAGGCCACCCGATCAACCGGCAGAAGTCTCCGAAGGCCAACGGGCTCACCTAGGGTCAAGGAAGCGCCTCCGGATTACTCCCAGCAGCCCCAGCTGATGCTGTGCCTTGGATGTGCTTACTGAGCCATTCTGGGAGTCATAGTTTCCAAATCACCACCATCTTGCCCCGCTTTGACAAGGTTTGCACTTGGGATTTCTTGTGACTAGATGGGCATAGAAAAGAATTGCATTGGAAAAGGGGTAGTCATATACGATGAGTATATCCCAAACTCTCTATTTTAACTTGAAAATTTGGGGTCGTCTTATACGTCCAGTTGTCTTATATGCTGGAAAATATGGTATGCCTCCAAATTAATAGCTGAGAAGTACGTAATAACAAATGTACATTCTTAATACCGAAACACAATGGCAAAATTTTGTTGTTAGACTAAATGCCCACAAACTGCCATAATTCTAATTCAAATGTTGTAAGCACATGCTTAGGAACCTTTCCACGTACTTTTGCTGTGAACAGTAGGACGACAATGACGGTTTTCAAACACAAATATAAACTTTCGAAGATTCTTTTGAGAAAGCCAAAATATGACAGAGGCCAGTTTGAATAATGTCTTAGGGGAGACGTCCTACTTCCTTCATGTAACAAGCTTTACTTTTTATTGAATCAGCAACAGCATGATGATCATGTATCATGTTCAGAAACCAATGTAGTTTCCATTTACAGCTGCAATCTTCAAATTGTTTAAACAAGCAAGAAAGACGTTTCCCAGAATTTCAGGACAGTCTAATTGGCCATAAAACGACATCAGGAGTGATCAGTTATAGCTCAACACAAAATCTAAATTAGATGTCAAGGTCTTCAATACAGAGGAGTGCAGCAGAACTCTAAGGAAGATGGCTGAGAGATAATTTTGGAAAAGGTGCAGAGGTAAATAAAAAGACTCGGGATTTTCTATAACACAATTCAAGTTTATTCCATTCATTCTTGCAACACAAACACAGTATCATTTAGCAATCTGATGTCTATGAACCATGATAATGATAAACCAAACTGTGTCAAAATAGTTACATTGTGGAAAGGTCAAATATCAAAATGCACAAAGCACTATTTTTCTTCTGTCACTGGGTAGAAAGATATGATTGTTTCTTCATTTATAAAATATCAGACTGTTCTGTTTGAGATTTTGCATGCAACACTGCAACTGCTCAACTAGGACATTCCACTCTTACCAGCTTCTTCTATTGACCAATTAACCCATTTAGTACTGCACTGAAGAACAAAAACTAAGTTATGAAAGCAATGCTTATACAAAGGCAAGCAAAAAGCTTTAAGACCCTAAGTCAGAACTTTAAAATGGTATTTGCAAGTAGGGAGATTAGTGCTGGATTTAACTTGGAATACTTTTCAAACCTCATATTAGATAAAGGGCCTCAAAAAAAAGTGTTCACAATCTAAGAGACAGTATGAGACATTGGTAGTCACGATTTTTAGTTCTGCAGAAAATCAGGATATCAATAGCACATGATCTCTGTTTTTTAAAAAAGTCCAGTTAGCTTTTCTTAATGTTTAATATAGAACCCAGCGGCCTAGATACAGTGAACTGCAGAAACACTTAATTGGTTTTAAGAACAAGTATTTGTGTATATTTTAACTATTCTGTTTAAATGACTAAAAGTGACTTGATATCTATTCATCATAATCCATTTTCTTAAATGAAATGTGTAGGATGGGAAGTGAGATGTCTATGGGGAGAAAAGATGCAAGTAGGTAGAGAAGCTCAGACACTGAATTGCTAGAAAAAAGCTCAAAATGATTCAATTTTATATAAGGACTACAGGTGACTTTTGTAATAATTAGCTATGAAGCAATAGTTACGAATTTCACCTTTAAAACAAAACAATCATTTCATTTTATGTGAGAAGAATTTTCAAGTGGACTAGGTCAACTCTAAGCAACAATATCTGGTTTTAAATTTAATCAGATTTTAACAGCACTTTGGCTGTAAAACAGAAAAGAGAACACGTGTGCTTACACAAACTCTGCATGCAACACTTTTATTTTAACGTGACATTCCTGCCTTAGCTAAAAAATAGATTATATGGTTGCACTTTTAAGACTGTCTTTAGATAATTAACTTTGTTCTTCTCCTAGCTGTAGAACATGAATGTTATGGATGGTAATAAGGGGCAAATAAAATACTGTTTAAATTATAAGATTAGTCTAGTTTCACATTGCCTATGGAGAATGTATTCTTAATTCTGTTTTGACAAGACTATTATAGTAAATATTTGCTTGTATTCTTGAATTCAAAAGAAATACTTTAAAAATTGAAAAAAAGAATACATTCAATACAATGAAATGTGTGGACACCAGAGTAATTGGATGACAATCAAGATACAATATTGCACAGATAGATGCAAAGCCAGTGGAGGTTTCACTGGAAAGTTTTTTAACATCATGATACAAAACCTATCCACATTTCTGAACATGAATATCCAAATACTGTTTGCCCTGGCATCCCTAAATTGACATATTTGTATATTACAAAGCCTTATGCATGAAATGTCCCTTAAAAAGCTATCATGAAGCATATTTGCGAAATGAGCTGTATAAACAAACAGGCTTTACCAGGCTGTAAATGCAACATGTCATTATTTCCTTTGGGAACATGACCCTTCAACCTGCTGTACTATTCTTCCAGACCCAATGCCATAATAGTGAATCAGAATTTATTTCAAAAATTCATGCAATTTATGAGATAAAGGTTAAAGCTAGGACAAAGAAAGCTTCTGCCTTCTTTAAGAAAATAAAATGAACTTAAATTGATAGTCATTTCTTCTTTAGTAGTTAAGATGTTTTGTGTCTAAACCGTGAAGGCAAAAACAACCATCCTCTAGCACCAATGGGTCTGGAGCAGTCAAGTTTGTTCCAGTATATTTTATGATGTGCTGGGTGAGGAAGTTCCATCTGGGAGCCTTTAAGATAACTCTTTTCCAGAATTAGGCATTGTGTATCATCTGGCTGGTTCTCAACTAAATGTCTTGGATGGTGGAAAACAACCATGATTTGGATCACCCCTTAGTACCCCTGGCTGGAGATGTAGCCGTACTTTTACTGTACAGTCCTTATTAAAACAGGAAGTCACAAATTAGCATGGCATCCAGTTGTTAAGTTCTTGGACCTTAGAAGCAAGCGTCTCTTGCTTAAGGCACAAGGACTACAGAAAAGCTGCTCCACTGCCTTGATTGGTAGATGGCAGCAGAATAGCACTGGGCAACCCCTGCCTTGACAAGTTGGAAAAAATACAGAATAGATCATCCATCTCACAATTTTTCAGCATGTCTTAGCAGAACAAGAGAAGCTCATTAGGTTGCATGTCAGATCACATTCTTCTCCCGTTGCCCAAGAAGGTTCAATTTTGCGAGAAATGGGGAAGGACTTCAATTATATGGATTTCTACTCTCTCTTCTCTGATAAAGGTACATAACTAGTCTGATTTACTGTGATTTTCCTCCCTCTCCAATATTTAGCTGAAGAAGCTGGAAGATACAAAGAGTGATAGACAGGCAGCAGTGTGAGGCCACAGGAGAGACATTAGATCTCAGTCCATCCGTCACTGGAGAAGAGCTTTGATTGCCTGATTGTCAGTGGCTTCAAAGGCAGTTAGTCCATCTGGCCCTCTCACTGTCTTATCAGCACCCTGTAAAGAGATAAGAGCTGTCACTTTAGAGAAAGAGGTGGAAGAACAGGTTGCTTACCTGTGTAACTATGGTTCTTCAAATGGCCATCTGTGCAAGAGATTCCGAAAAAAATTCTATTTTTTTTTAAAAAATTGAATAGATACAGAGTTTCCTATGTGAACAAGGGGGATTACATGCACCAAAAACACTTTGTAATGAGAAAATCCTGGAACATTTGCAGACACCTATCTAAGCTAAGAATTTTAAATAATTTACTGTGATTTTCTTACTTTACAGTTTCCATGGAATTTTTTCATCTAGAGTTGCATGTTTGATTACTACAGTGTGTATTTAAATATGAGATTTGAAAGAGGTAACTTCATAACCATTCAGCATTGGAAAGATAGGTTTTAAGTAATCCACATTTCACACAGCATATTAAGTTGTAGCTTAAGCAAATTTGTGAAAACTACATTTTATTATACTATGCACACACTTTTACATCTCAGGTACTTAAATAATCCAGAAGGTTTTAAGAGTATTAACACATACTGATTTTTAACCAAAAGATTCAGCAACAGTTGTCTTAAGGTGCCAGCTAACATCCAGGAAAATATTAACTGCCAGAACTCAAAAAATATACTAAATAATAATAACAACAACAGCAGCAGGAGTAACAGTTTAGCCTCTAATATCGACTAAACCCAATTGGTATATTAGCTAGAACAAACTTAATCAATAGGGTTTACATAAATATTGGCTTACTATTCAGCAACTTATTTAATGGGTATTGTCTAGGCAAGAACAGCAATTGGCTTCAGAATCATGGTCAATAACAGAAGAAAGTGAATTAAAAATACTTTCCAAATATACCCATACTCACTCACTACTCATACCAAGCAACCTGTGCTTCAACTAAAATGTATATACATTAGAATTTGATCATGTATTTTGTACAGACTGGTAAATGACATCCAAGACTCAAAGTACAGTTTGTGCTGAAGTTAAGAAAAAGCCAATAAAAATGGAATCCAAGTAATTATGAACTCTATACCCAGAAGAGACCCTTTGGAGCTCTTTATAAAACCAGCCTTGTGTAGCATTCCCTACACACTCACATGCAAATATAAAACAGTCTGAAAAGATCACATTCTCCAACAGTTACTATCTGGGAGATGCACCCATTTAAGAGACAACCAAACATCAAATACCAAATCCTTTAAAATACTTCAAACACACGATTGATGCAAACAAAATGCATATTGTTACCACAGTCACACCTGTGCAATAATCTGGGAGCATTCAGACTACTGTTGCTATGTAAAGAGAGCAGCCAAAACTTGCAGTAAGCCAAGGGGAGAAGAAATAAACATGCAGAGCACTAATAATTGGTTAAAATAATTATTGTAATTATTCTCCTTTCTGTCCAAGACTGAAAATCTTTCTGGCTGATTTCTGCCAGGAATTGGATACCCAGGACATGGAATTCTGAGACCTTACTTTGACAAGGTGTAAAATAAGAGCATGCACAATGTTGATAGGTAAACCAGGAGATGATTTACCAGCAGCCTGGTCACAGTGGGACAATATAAAAGTTAGAAAGTTATGTAGTCTAAAAGGACTATCTTGAATAGGATGGAAGATGATTAAACTTTTTTGTTTGGCCAGTATAATAATGCAATAAATTTAATTTTGGTTACTGTCATTAATATACGTTATCAAAATGTAGACAGACAAAGAAACTTGTATGATTAAATACTAACAGTTTAGGCTGATCTGTAAAATTTGGGAACCAGTCCTGTGATGTTGATAACTTGCAATTCCTCAAATGAAACCTCTTTAATCACAAAAGGTGAAGCCAAAACAAGTCAAATTACTACAGGTTTATTGTGTGGCAAATGAAGGATTTTGTAAACTCAATGTGTGATAGAATTGATATTTTAAGTATGCACAACACATTTAACATCATGTAGATTCCTTTGTTTTCAGCAAGTACTTTCAAAGCTCTATCACTGCTGTCCTCATTTGCTGTGAGAAGGAAGGGCATGTTTTCTACAGTTCTATAATGTACTTGAAAATATTATTCATCATTTGCCATGCTTCTGGACTGCTCATGCTTTCTGTGACTTAATGCTTTCTGACCTGTCAAATGCTAACCCTGGGCAAAAACCAAATCCAGTTTGCTGCAGTTGGCAGACAAGCAGATTGGGGGAAAAGGCCAGTGGAACAAGACGCAGTGAGCATAGTTCATTGTATAGAAGTTTTAAAGTAGGGATGGGCAAAGAGCAGTACACAGGCTCTATTTATTATTTGTATTTTACTGAAAATTACCCTTTTCTACACTTTTAGGTCAGATTTGATTATATAATGAAGGACTGTTAGATACTTAAAAGTCAGGATTTCAGAAGTTTGCTTGATTTGAAGCTTAATATGGGCTAGTAATGTCCTTGATTTTAAGGAGTAGCAGCTTTTCTTCTCAGAGGAAAATGATGTTATAGTCAGTAAGTCCCCAATTATTGGTTTTGGCATGCATACAGTAACTGTACACATGCTGGACTACAAAATCTAGGTGAGCATGAGAGCTAAATTATGTTTTGGAGATTTTGTTACCCTGGTCTGAGTTCTGATCCATGCACACAGAATAGTCTAATAACAGTCTAAAAGAAAAGTTGCTTTTGTCCTTCAACTTAGATGGCCTTTTCATTGCTTTATCTACCTTTGTGTTTTAAAGAAGATGTCAGGCAGGTTGAAGCACTATAAGTATACAAGTGCGGCCCAAAGATATTTAATGACTCCACTCTGTCAAAATCATGGCTGTAATAGACTAGAGCCAAACACTATGATTAGTGTGTCAGCATCATCTGAGAACACTCAATCACCTGCAATCTTAGCATTTGAAGTTTTCCAAGTACACCTTACTTTATGGTGAAATAATAAATCTATTTCAACTTGTCACTTTTCACATTTTAGAGGAAAAAATATTTCAGGAGAATGGTATTACAGCGAACACAAAAGGAACAGAGGGTGAAAGAAACAATATACAGTTTGAGTGTTCATGCAGTACTTGCAAAAAGAGCTTTAAGTTGAAAATAAGTTGTTTCTGTTAAATTGTACAGTGAGTGGTCTTTATGCTTATATTCACATTATATTATGAAGGATATATAGATTTCTTATAAAAAATTCTCATGGCAAGTTGAAATGATGCATCTTGACCTTTAAAGGCAAAGAGTCAGAGAGGATTCCTATCTGATCTAGAAATTTCAGCAATGCTGCTAGAATATAGGGAAGGATACAAAAGAGAACTGGAATAATGCTTTAAAAAGGTCCATAAGGCCAAGTGATTTGAGAACGATTTAGCAATAAAATGGTCTGGCAGAGGAATATCATCATGCATGATTGGCAACTGTCTGGTGGTAACAGCAAACATGACAATCCCATCCAAAATGTCTACAGCAGGGCCGAAGTAGACATTTGACATTCAGCTTGTGAAGTGACAAGCACAGGCAAGGAAAATTTATACCTCCCCTATCCATTGTTTTTTCTCTGTATGCCCTTCCCCACTTTGCAGGTGTTCGACAGCAATTCATGGATGCAGCAAACACATGCCTGGAATCGTGACTGGGAAAAGGGATTATAGAAGATAGGCAGTAGTTATTTCATCAGATGTAAGAAGTCAAAAGCTATTTAGCTTTTTAGTAATAAATTTTGGCACCATCACAACTTATTTTTAACATAACAGACTCACACTGTTGTGATTGAAATACTTCGTAAATCGGGTCAGAAACGGAAAAAAATGAATCTCTCCAGTAAACTGCCTCTTCTTTTTTCATTGTTTTCCCACCATAGTCAATATGAAGTTTGTAAAACCTGATGTGATACTTAAAATAAAGATTACTGAGCAGTACTGGCATAATGGGTAATTTTGGAGGCCAATGATTTCTCACCTATTTCTATTATGACTCTATAAATTTATTCTATAAATTAAAAAAGTCAAAATGCTGCTTTGAACTAGTCTTAATATTTTATCCAAATGCTTTTAGTTATTTTTAACCCCATTGTTGTTGTTTACAACACTACAATATTTTGTCAACAGAACCAAAGTGGTGCCTTGCACCTGTGAGAAAAAAAAGTTCCTTAAAAATGCTTGTATTTTCCAGTTTGAAAAAGATGTAGTACCTACACACAGAAATCTATGCTAAGTAGAATAACATAACTATTTTATCTATAACTTAGTTTCAAAATCTGAAATGCTTTATTATCTAAATTGGTTTTCTTTATATGCTGTCCTGAGATCCCATGATATAGGGCTAGATTAAAAATTTTTAATTAATAAATCATGGCTGCTTAGACATTGGTTATCTGGACACTCTGACGACCATATCTTAGCAAAATAGCATCATTTGTTTATAAACTGAGGATCCGAAGATGAATATTACTAGGCAATCTCTTCTTTTGTCTCTTTTTAAAATTAAAACCCTATAGATGTTACACTATTTTGCACAGTACCTACAGTATATTAGGTATTTTATTAAAGTGATTATGACGACATTTTGGAAAGCAAAACTTGTATCAGGCACATTTAAAATTCTCACCTTTGACAGGAGTAACTTCACACAACAGACATGGCCTTCATAAACTGCTGAAAGAAGTGGAGTGATATTGTGTTTGTCTGGAGCCTGTAAAAAGAAGAATTGAAGTTGAAGAATTCTTAGTGGACCATATATAACTTATTATAGACTAGCTGTAATACAGCTCTAACAGTATTAAAACAGCATGACATTAGCAAGAATATACAGAACTCTGGATGCACAAGAAACTGTCAGCACAATTTTCTCTTACTTGATGATATAGAAATCTAATCCTTGGCATCTTCCAAAAAACATGCTATTGCCCAGAAAATCTATTTATAACCAGTTATAACTAACTAAAACCAGAATACTTCCTGCCTAAGCATTTAACTAAATATGAGATTACTAAAAATGTGGATTCTGACAGAAAAGGCAGGTAGGAAAGAGACTGTTTATGGAGATTGTTTTGGTCTTTGCTCCACAAAACCCCTTCCTTTGCACAGTATACATTTCGGAAAAGATTAGTTTCTATTTCAGGTTATGGCTTGGGGAAAAAGTGACTTTACATGGTGCTCGGGGATAAAAGTACGAGCATTCTTTGTTCATCCGACCCCACAAATACTGCCATCTCCACCCATGTTTGTAAAAAAGGGAGGGCAGGATTTTTTTTTGCCTTGTATCAAAGAGATCCATCCCACGATTAGTGAAATATGTGACTTCAAATGAGCTATGGATATATTTCTATTTCCCAAAATCGTAGTGGCAAAAACATATTTCCTTCTAATTTATTAGACAGAACACCTGTAGACAAAAATCTTCCAAAATACACTTAATTTCCCTAAAATGCATTATAAATCTTAAATACCTCTATTTTTTATGAAAATCTAGGATAAAATATACATGAGGAAACAGATTTCAATATAAAATGTAGTTATTTTGTAAAAAGTACTTTCCAAGATTATTACAAGATGAAAAAATATTCTGGAAAACTAATATGAAAGCCAATTTATTTGACCTCTTAAGATATCACAGTGCTATCATTATATGCTATCATTGAGGTAAAAACCTTAACTCCAATCATGTGTGTGATATTCTACTGAACTGTTCGATGTTTAAACTATCAAGAGTAACCCATCGACATAATGAAGGTTAGAGATAGAAAGGTTCCTCAAACTACTAAACATAGCATATACTCACTTTCCATCATCTCTCTACAATCCACTTTATGTATTTAGAACACATGCAAAACACATTTGACAAGTTGCAACACTAAAATAAAAACAATTTGTGTGTGCACTGGGGCAATCATGTCTCAATATTGTGAATTTTAAACACTACCATTTGTCTCCAACCCTCAAACAGAACTTTATCAAAGCCTGAGTGATTTTAATCAACATACATTAATATCAGCTCCCTTTAGTAGAAGGAATTCCAGGATCTCGAGCTGTCCACAATCTGCTGCATAGTGAAGAGGTTTTCTCCCACCTTCCAATGTCCGATTAACATCTTCACCCTTCAATATTAAGAAAGTATTAAGTATTAAGAAAGGTTTGGCATGTAACATAGTGCAATAGATGGATGATTATCGGAATGGCCTGAATGCGGATAATGTGGTTTTATAGTTGTAACTGCAATGTTTTATATGTTTTAATGCTCTCAATCTTTTTTAAAATTTTAACTGAAATGTTTATTTAATTGTTTATTGGATGTATATTGTTTTCAAAGCACTGAATTATTGCCTATGCTGTAAGCCGCCTTGAGTCCCCCTCGGGGTTGAGAAATGCGGAATAAAAATACAGCAAATAAATAAATAAATAAATAAATAAATAAATAAATAAATAAATGTTACTTAAAAAATAGTGCTTTGTGAAATGTAACTTTTTAATCACAGCAATAAAATGATACACAGTCAAAGGAGAATTCACTATTGCTTGAATACAAACTGGTTCAAGCAATAGGGCTTTCTTCCACCTTACTCCAAAACAGAAACCTACAAGGAAGAATGGAAACAGTACCATGAGAAAAAAAAAGTTTTAACATTCCACCCTAAACCATTATTTGCAGGCAGTAAAACAAGGAATGAACACTTGCATAAAATAGTATTTCTAGAGCAATGTTGAGATGATTGCTGGCAAAACATCCTATACCTCAAGAATCTAGGTCTTTTTAAATCTAGCAGCACTATGGAGATTGGATTCATTTTAGCATAGTAATAAATAAAGAATAAAAAAATATTTAATCCCCTCCCCCTCTCCCCGAAGGGACTTGGGGCTGCCTACATCAAGCAATAATACAAAATATAAGCAATACATGATAGACAACAATAACAAAAATAATTATCATTTAGTACAATTTAAAATACCATAAGTATTAATACATAACAAATTAAAAGCTATTTTTCCTGTAAAAACAATCTAAATATATATCACCATTTAGCCAGCCTTGCCTATCAAGCTTTCAAGCAGTTATAATTAACAATCTCATGGTCATTACAAATTCTGACTAATAGTTTCCAATAAAATCTAGCCATTCTCAAAGGCTTGCTTACATAACCAAGTTTTAGCTCCCTCCTAAAGATTGAGCTTTTGTACAAATCTACAAAAGCATGAGCTTTTGTAGATTTCATATCACTTCAGATGGACTAGAGCCTTGGTTCCCAATGTGGGCACATGTTCCACAAGGGGGAGTGGGTTGATTTTTATGGTTCTAGAGGCCTCGTATACTTTCTCTCTCTCTCTCTCTCTCTGTATATATATATACAGAGAGAGACAGACAGACAGACAGACATATAGTATAGTGACATATACATTTTTAAATTAAAACCAGAATGTACATGAGGAAAGCCATAATAATAATAATAATAATAATAATAATAATAATAATAATAATCTATATAAATAAAAATGCCTTTTCCACAGTCATGCTGTTTAGTATACTTTAGGTAAAGGACAGAAAATAGTAATGCTCTATTTTAATTAAAAGTAAAAAAAAGATTACATGGGCAACCCAAATAGTAGTAAATACACACCACTGATATGATCATCACGGAATTATGCATTAAGGAATTGTAAGCTGCCCCGAGATCTTTTGGGGAGATAGTTGTTGCTGTTGCTGCTATTATTGTTGTTGTTGTTGTTGTTGTTGTTGTTGTTGTTGTTGTTGTTGTTGTTATTATTATTATTATTATTATTATTATTATTATTATTATTATGTGTCTATATATATGACAGAAAAAGGATCACCTGGTGGCAGTTGGAACTTGAGGTCAAATAGATAACACATTTTAAGAGCTCTGACTCTAATAACTATACAATGAGACACAATGGACTGCAATTCCCATCACCATAACACTTAAATACCCGCACCTAAAAGTTGGCTGCACATTCCAAGTTCACCATTTTCCTAATATAGGGTGACCATGTTTCCCCAAAAAGCAAAGAGAAAGAAGCAAACTCACAAAAGCCCTAATTATTACTTCTTTCCTGGTTGAGAATTCTGGAAATGCTCATCATACCTTTCAGTTCCCAGAATTCAAAGACTTAATGAAAGATACTGTGCTTCTCATTCTGAGTAACACTCTTGATAAAGTCTAATCATTTAAATTCCTCTGTTCATCTGCCATCACAAATTATAAGAGTGAATTAAATTTTTATTGTCTTTATCCGTTCAATGCACTATAGCATCAGCCCATTAAAAAACACAATGAATAATTTAATGATAAATCATTTAATTGTGCAATTCTAAGTTTATAATTTAAAATGCTTATTACTTTTCATTCCAATTATTAAGTCAAGCCAACTATCTGTACTTCTGACTCTGCCTTTTACATTTCTCTATTGTTCCACTAGAAGATTATTTCTTTTGAAAAATGAATTCAGTCAAATTGTTACAGAATGCTCATCAGCACTAATGCCTTAATCCCTTGAGACTGCTGGATGCACACCTTTTGGTCTGATGACACTCGTTCCTTTTCTGAACATCAAGTGGTCGCATATAGATGTTAAACAACAGAGGGGAGAGAATGGCCCCCTGAGAGACCCCACAAGATAGAGGGGACCTCCCCGAGACCAGGCCTCCCCTCTCCACTCGCTGTCCACGGTTGTGAAGAAAGGAGGACAGCCAATTTAAAGCTGTCCCCCTGACTCCAGCAACAGCAAGGCGGTGGGTCAAAAGATTGTGGTCAACTGTGTCAAATGCTGCTGTGAGATCCAATAACACAAGCAGCGCTGACCCGCCCTGGTCAAGCTGGCATCGAAGGTGATCCGTGATGGAGACCAGCACAATCTCTGTCCCATGCCCTGCACGGAAGCCAGACTGGAAGGGATCTAGTCCAGCTGTGTCGTCTAGGAATTGCTGCAACTGCTCCACTGCTGCCCTCTCAATCACCTTACCCAGGAACGAGAGATTCGAAACTGGGTGGTAACTGGAGGGAACCGAAGAATCTAAATCTGGTTTCTTCAGCAGGGGAGAGACCACCGCCTCTTTTAAACCCTTTGGAAAAACTCCTTGCTCAAGGGAGCTGTTTATGATCTTCAACAGAGGGTCACATAATCCCTCCAAGCAGGATTTCACCAACCAAGAGGGACACGGATCGAGGGAACAAGTGGTCAGTCTAGCTGCAGTTATGAGCCTATCGACAGCCTCTGCGTCCAGCGGGATGAACCGGTCGAGGACGGGCCCAGCAAGTGGCCACGGAGTCTCAAGTTCTCTCACTGTATCAATTGTGGTGGGGAGGTCCCGGCGAAGTAGCGAGATCTTGTCTGCAAAATAGCTCTGAAAAACCTCGGCCCAAGGGGCCTGATCATCGCTTTTTGGGACGGTAGGGACCGTCATTAGAGATCGAATTATCTTGAACAATTTTGCCGGGCGTGAGCTAGCAGACGCTATCAAAGAAGCATAATATACTTGCTTTGCCTCGGTGATAGCATGCTCATAGGACTCCCTAAATGCCTCATAAGTTGATCTCGATGCTCCGTCACGGAGTTCTCGCCACACGCCCTCTAGCTGTCTCTTTTTCCGCTTCATCAGTCGATGTTCCTCGATAAACCAAGGAGACCAATTTGGGTGGGGTCGGAGAAGGCGTCCAGGGGCGATCTCGTTGAGTGCATTGGATAGCCTGATGTTCCATGTGTCCACCTGCACATCGAGTCGTTGGCAGGCTCCAGATCACTCAGAGCATTCTGGAACCTACTGGGTTCCATAAGTCTCCTTGGGTGAGCCCAAATTGGCTCGGCGCCCTTGCAGGGTGGGTAGGCGTGCTCCAACCGGACTCTCAGAGCACAGTGATCCGACCATGGAACCTCTATAGTAGAGGCTTGGGTCACTTAAATTCCTGCGCTGAAAATCAGATCTAGCGTGTATCCCGCCTGATGTGTATATATTTGATATGACTGTGCTCCAAAGATGGAAAAGATATTGCAGTTTATACTGAAAGTTACCAAGGATTTAAATGACTTGGACATTTCATTGCACATCTGCATATTGTTCTGATTAAAAGGTTTTCTGAAGCATGTGGAACTCCTCCTTCTTTTTCCTCTTTGATGTAGGAACTTATCCCTATTCCTTCCATTATATTTATGCCCAAGTACTAAATTTGCCATTACAGTAGCAAAATCCAGGAACGCAGTTATTTGTTAACTCAATTATAACTATATTGCTTTCTGTATTACATGAAACAGCAGTTAATTAAACCCAATGTCACATTAGATCAGCAGCCAGTGCATTGTGCATGGTAAAGACAGAAGTTCCCGGATCATAGAGAAAGACTAATTTTATTTTATTTCTTTAAAAAAAGAGCACACAATTCAGTGTACAGCATCCTCTCTGCTGCTTTTACACTTATCAATGAGTAGGAATGATAGAAGCACACGTGTTTGTAATAGCGATACTATAGGGACAGATTGCCTTGCTACACTTGTCCTGTTTTGCAGCTAGTTACCTTATTTAGCCCATAAATATATTTTTCTCAGCAGATCTCCAACACTGGATGTAATCTGAATGGCTTAAGACATACAAACCACATTTGCTATTTAACACCTGACTTTCCATCTTCAGAAATAATTCAGCCAGTTCTGCATTTGGTCTTAAAACTACCCAGAATTTTGAAGCTAGGTCTCACAGGCTGAAGGTCAAGCCTTTGGTTCCTTGTTTGATGACTGTATAACTTTTTCCTGATCTCAATTATACTTTTAGGTACTGATATTTCTGGTGACAGAGAGCTGTATACAACAGTTCTTACGTTATTTGCTCATATCTATACCACCTTTTTCCAATACTGAGATGCAAGACTGCTTTTTTTTTTTTTATAATATTTCTGTATTGTGTCCAAGACAGGGCTCTCAAAGTGATGAACAAATAAAAACCAATTAAAACAACAGAAATATAAAAAACAATTTAAAATGTAGTACAACACTATTTAAAACTCATAATAACAGTCTAAAAGTCATTATAGAATCCAGTGTTAAGACATCAATTTCAAATACTGATGCCATTATTGTTTTGGCTGCCTTCTGA